AATTCTATAGAGTCTGTTCTCTTGCTGCTAGCACCTACCTATAGAAGTTCTCTTATATTCCTAAAACATGTTCTGGGGGAAAAAGTGTAGGTACTGAATGAACCATTCTTTTGACACATTCCTGGAAAGTATGAAGCAAAAAGAAGCTCCTTTTCCCTTCATGTGTTATATATTTCCCTTCAGCTATTCTTCTGGAAAGAGCAGAATTACTCAATGTGCAGATGGACTGTCATCAGCACACTATTGTCACCATTACCGCTCTCATCTTTTAAAATGCATGTGCACCCTTGGCGGTGCTGCAGAACCACATACTTAGTGAGTTAAACAGATAACATGCTTTGCTCTGGAAGCTTGTAATCCAAGAGAGAGCTCTGACATTAAGCTGTGACACTCTAACAAATGAACTTTAAACATGGATGTTAATTAATTGTGCAAACAAATTTCATGAAGAATGTTTACTGACTTAGGAGAAGGAACCATTTTCAAACAGATTAGAAATATCATTAACATATAAGCCAAATCCATGACATATGAATGGGGACTAAGCTGTTTTGATCCATTAATTATCTTATCTCTTCATTAAGAATATCTCCACAAGACCACGTAGCACTGCAGTTTTTTAAATATATAACTTAGAAGTTGGGCAGAACTACTTAAAATTTGTAATGACAACTTTTCCTTAAATCAAATTGTCCTTCATATTGGTCCAAGTTGATGAGATGTCAAACAGTACGTGGAATAAGTCACTAGTTTGTAGTTGTTGTAAGCACAGCCATTCTGCCTGTTGTTCATCATTGCAAGAAGAGTGCCAGCACAGCCCTGACATTTGGGGGTGCTCCTTAAAGAATTATTCTAGGTGCTGGGGATCCTGAGCTATTTTAGGATCTGGCCTGGCTCTGTGACCTTGCTCATGGCTGCGATTGCCCTTTCCCTTCCAACCATAACTCTTGCCTTCAACAGCTGGTTGAAGGCAGCTATTTCCCAATATTATTTTGCTACCATCAGAGCTCCATCACATTCATATCTCTACCCCAAATTTTGATGGTCATGTACATCAAGTGGCAGCCAGTGTGACAGTAGAAAATACAATGGTTTATAAGTCTTGACTTTTTGGTTAAACTCAGGAGACACCAGAAAAATCTCTTATTCTCTTAGGGCCTTGGTTTTTTGTTAACTTAACGGAAGGGTTGCTCTAAATAGCCCCATTTCTGTGAAAACCTGCTAGATTTCTCGAGTAAGTCCTGGGATGACTGAGGCCTGGAGGTGGAAGTTGGCCTCTGGCCACCCCCCAGAACTCCCAGCTCAGGTTTCAAATATGAAATTTCAAATATGAATTTGAACTTAGCTACTTCAATACACTGATTTAAGCATAGTGTTGATTATTTACATTCTATATTAAAGTCCACTGTATTTTTTTAAAGATGTTAAATATAAATGATGCAAAAGAGCTAAACTGATAGAACTTTATGGTTGAGCAGAACCATAGTTCCTAATTACAAAGAGATAGCAAAGGGGTGGAAAAGTTTTGAATCTGGGAAATGGATCTCACTAAGGTCAAGTAGCTAGGTTCCCTGTGGCAGAATAAAGGCCTCCTGAAATTATGAGAAGTGCAGGAGGTGGCAGGATGGAGGGATGCTAACACAACCTCTTGTTTCAGTCACATGGGTATATGATTACTTTGGTCTTCCAGAGGGCACACTCCCACCACTGTCACCACTCCCTCCCTGTTGCTGCCCCAGGCCCCAGGGTCAGCAGGACAGCTGACATGTGGCCACTGGTCAGGCAGAAGTCACATCTTCCATCACCTCTGTGATACTTAGGCTGATGGTTCCATCCATGATGTAAACTTTCATGGACAAACTCGGGGCTTCCTGCCATTCCTAGCTGATTAACACCACCCCCTTCTCTCTCATTCAAAAAAATATACTGAATGAAGGGATAATATCTTCCTTTAAAAAAAATAAGTGCTTCTTCTTTCTTTTATCATGTCTATTTCTTCCTTCTTTTATTATGTCTATTTCTTCTTACTTCCTGCTCTATTAGTTGCCTTTTTAAAATTATTTTATATAGTTTTACATCATTTTTCATTTTTGTAAATTAAAAATTTATCACCTCGGGTATAGTCCCCATGAAATTCCCACCACCCATTCACCCATATACCATCACCATAGTCCCTTGTGCTCTTCCCACCCCTGTTTCGATCCAACTCCCTCCTCCCCCCATGCAGAATGTCTCTGATTTATAGTTACCTGTTGATTTTGATTTTTACTTCATTATAATTACTTTTTTTCCTTGATATTTCACTCAGTGCTCTATTACTTTTATTAACTGGGAGATAAATTCACTCAGAACTTTTAATTCTTCAAATAACAGGCATCATAAACACTATTATGTGTTTCCTTGTGCCTGTAGCATTTACTATAATTCCTCAGATTAAAAATGCAGCTTCTAATATTACAGGACAAGGATGGAGGGAGAAAGACTTAATGCAACTCAAGATATTCAAAGGTAAAAAGCTGCAAATGAAAATTATCACAATGAGCAAGAATAAAATTATTATAAAATTGAAAAAATAAGTGCATGATTTGCAAGATTTAGTTTACTATTATAAAATTACATTTATAATTAATTGTAGTTATACTTGACCTTTCCCTTGGTTGTCTTATTTATAATTATACACCTATCTGGTCATGTCATGAAAACAAATTGGATCAGTGCCCTTTGCCTCCACAATATTTTGGTTGAAGTGTTGGGTCATCTTCTTGACTGTTAACATTCTTTCTGCTGGCTTATCCTAGCCTTGGCGCTCTGATCCCCTCATAGCATAATTCCAGGGAGGGGAGGTAGAGGTTGGGGAAATAGAGACAGAAGGCCCAGGCTCAGGACCCAGGCCCACCTGAGGATGTATCTAGATCAGTCCTTTTAGGAGCCACATGCAGGGCACTATCATAGATGTAGGCAGATAATTTCTCATATGGTTCATTTTCAGGTGTCCTGGAAAAGCCCATACTAGGGTACAAGTACCCAGTTGGTTGACAATCTGTTGCTTCTTCAAAATGAAGACATTTAAATATTTGTCCAGATTTATTCAGAAGATGTTGCTCAGAGCATGGGTATCCAGGAGACTGTATTGGTAGCTCAATTTCACTTTGCCCAGAGCACTTTGGCCAGCACTCAAGTTTCAAACTGCCCTTAATGAAACAATAAGCTCATATACATTTAAAATTACTAAGATTGAAACTTTAAGCTATGCGTATTTTACCACAATTAGAAAATCTTTTAATTAAAAAGAAATCCTTCAGTTCTGTGTACCCACCTTCTTTAGACTATGTTGTATCAGCCATCCACTGTTATCCAGTGTGTCCCTGAGTGTGTGTCGGGGGGAGGGACACTACCCTTCCTCAGCAGCTCCCACCACTTGAGTCCTCTCCTAGAGCAGGGTCCTGGGTCCAGCAGTTCTCTCCATCTCTTTTCAGGGCTGGTGAGGTTGGAGCAGCCCACACAGAAGTCTGCTCTTCTGCCTATTTCTTACTTGATGTCTTGGCCCTGGAAGGCCATCAGTCGAAAACTACCTGTCTTGGGGCCTGGGCCTCCCTGGTAGTGCAAGGGGTAAAATCTCAGCACTATGAAGCTGTTGCCAGTCACTGCAACATGAGTTCAATTCCCAGCCAGGGAGCTGACCCACATGGCACAGCAGACCTCTCCTGCCCTACCCGCTGCTCCCCTGGGCAGTGTATTTCAGTAGATCCACCTGTTCTGTTCCCTACTCTGTCTCTGGTGAATCCTCTCACACCTCCACCCTCTGGCCTACATCCCAGCTCTTGTATGCATAAATAAATAAATAAATCTTTAAAAAAAGAAAAAGAAAACTACCTGCTTTGTCCAATGCCAAGGAAAATTCCAGAAGCGAATGATCTCCGCTAGAATGAGTATTGCTCTATTCAACATAATCATAAACTTTAAATACCGTTGGGAAGCACAACATAGCAAATTAATACCTTTCCAGTGAGGGCAGAGAAGACAGGAGAAACTGGGAAAAGAGAAAGCACAAAGAAGGGGCAGAGGGTTCAAGGTTAAGTCCAGAAAGACCAGAGACACCACGGCCCTGGGAATGACCGTGCTGAGGGATAAGGGGGGAGGGAGTCAGTGCTGTGTCTGAGTAAAGCTGGGTCTGCAGAGTTTAGCAGCCACTCCCTTTAGCAACACCTGCAACTTCCCAAAAGTTGCCTTGTCACAGTATGTCAGCTAGGGGTTGGTGAGGCTGTGTACACCATCGTACTTCTGAGGAAAATAAAAGAAATAAAACAGCCACCCTTTTCTTTAGATAAATGGTTTTGTAAGCCCCAGCTAATTTACCAATTGGGGAGGAAACCATAAGTCACTTCGCCAAGCTGTTCGTCTCAGAGGAGAGTTTAGGGATGACGTATGAAAAAGTTATCCCACATAAAGCCAAACAGCATCTCATAATTGTGTTCCCACGTCTTTTTCGGAGTATTTGTACAAGCCAAAATTGCATTTCTTAACTAAAATGGCAAGACGGAGAATGCTCCCTAGAAATCCCATCAGTGGTCTCATTAGGAAATAGAAGGTGTGATTTTGTGGAAGAGGGAGAAAAAATTAAGTGTCACGAGGAATTTATGAAGCATCTTTATGTCTTATTCCCGTGCTGTGTCTTCTCTTGGTCCCCTACCTCTGCTTTTCATCCTCTGTGTCCTTTTTAGTGTCTTCACCTTAAATGGTTATAGTTCTGTCAGACAAGCCAAAGCTGTTTTTTCCCCCCAAAGTCAAATCAGATTGCCAATCCCTGAAACGCCTTAATTTACTAGGTAATATGTATTTAACAAAGAAAATCTTACAGTACTTGCAAATGAATTCCACTGTTTTATTATCTCCGCATCACCTTCTTAATTTAACAAACCAACCAGAGCCTTCATTTTCTTTTTTTCCCATTGACACACAAGCCACACACTCAGCCCTGTGGAGCTGGCACAGGTGCCTACCTTGCCCAGGCCGGGGGTGTCCTTCACCTTGTTGATGGCCCTCAGCAGACAGGGCGGGGCGGGGGGAGGGGAGGTTTGCAGGATGCCACTGAAGCTGGTGCCAAACAGGGGTTGCTCGGCAACCGAGGAAGTAGATGGTCGATGCTTCTTCTTTTTAGAAGATAGATTTAACTTCTGAGCAGCTCTGGAGGGAAAAGTAAGAAAGGTACAGTAAGAGGGAAAGTAAGCTATACTCAGATGTGCTAGGGTTACTTAATATTCTCTTTCTTCAAGAACCCCCTAGTTCTTATCGAAGTTTAATAGTTCTCCCCTTGCTTTCAGTGTTCGCAGTTACCCCTCACTGCAACAGAGCCACCTTAATGAGCTGTTCGATCACTTACAAAGCAGGGAAAACCCAGAAAATTGCCATAGCTCTGCAATCTCCATTCACAAACAATCATTTTGCATCCTTACACACTCAATTTAAGCAAAAATAAAGCTGGTCATCTTTGAGAATAAACAGCACTGGTTAGGATAATTGTTCCATAACTTCTCTGGAATAAACTCAAGTGTGAGTGCACTATGAGCTCTTTAGAAACTCTAACACCTTGTAAAATTCAAACCAGTGTGAGGAAGAGCCACCAGGTGACCAGTCAAGGCATGTTACGTGTGGAGTCGTGGAAGAAGAACACAAGGCCCAGGGCAGAGGGGTTGAAGAAACAACCAAACCAGTGTAAACTTCAGCTGGGGTCTAGGATGTCATGACTATGGACTGCTTGCATGGAAAACAGGCTCGTGTGCTGGGTAGGCTTTAAAACAAGATGCAGGGACCTCTCTGGTGGCGCAAGGAGTTAAGCACTGCACTATGAAGCTGTCTGCAGCCTCTGCAGCATGAGTTTGATCCCCAACCAGCCAGGGAGCTACCCACATGGCGCAGCAGACCTCTCCTGACTTGCCCACTACTCCCCTCAGCAGTGTACTTCGGTCAATCTGCCTGTTCTGTTCCCAACTGTCTCTGGTGAAACCTCTCACTCCCTGCATCTCTGGCCTGTACCCCAGCTCTTGTATGCATAAATAAATAAATCTTTAAAAAAATAAATCAAGATGAAGTTCAGGGTTAAATGCAAGATGTGGGAAGCTGAGAGCCAGCAAAGGAGGCATGAAGGGTACAAAGAGGGAAAGGTGGGAGAGAAGATGCCAGCATCAGTAGTAACAACAGTTGTCACATCCTGTCTTCCATCAATCAAAGGTTCTGTACCCCCTGGAATATCATAATTGTATTAAGAGGGGGAAGCAAGGCAAGGGGCTTCCCTTGTGAGGCAAAGGCATTTCACAGACTGAACATAATATATTCCTCTCTGGATTAATTTTTCAGTCTATATTCTTGTTCTAAGAATTTCAATTTCCTTTTCTAATGTTTAATAACATTTGAATATTATTCAATATCATTTGAACTGCTGCCTAAAACAAATGGACTACCATGACTTTATTCTACAGATCAAAACCTTATAATCCATCCAGTGTTCTTACATGACAGGTCACAAGGGAAACAGGTCAAAAGATAAAATGAGTGTTGTTTGCACCTTCTTTGCCCCCACCCAAACTTAATGACAACACTTGGTTTTAATTGTGTATCTGCAATTATGCTTTTGACAAATCTCCTGAGTGACAAAATTGCCAATGTACAAACACAGCCAATGGAATTAGCACTTCCAAGTTTAATTTTCCTCAGTCTTAAAAGAAACGCTTTTTAAAAAGTGAAATACAGAGGAATGGCATATATAAAAAATAGCAGGCTTTGAAGGAAGAGTACCCCAGTAGTGCCATTACCATGTACCAAACTGAGGGCACTCTCTATAGTCACTCTATTGTAGTAGGATGAAAATGAAAGGCCCGGGATGGAGATTGTCACAGTGCTTTTCTTTGCAAATCAGCGAAAAAAAAACTCAGAATAATCTTTTTTTCATGATCTCATTGCCACTCTTGATGCTTTCTTTCTGAAATGGAAGATGAAGTGGAGTGATTCAATGACTAGTCTGGTGCTTCCCTGGGCAGTTTTCATTACTCCTTGAGATTCTCTCCCTGAATGAATAGTGGCTCAGACAGAGGCATCTGATGCCCCCCTCCCTTCCACCCTTTGGCCACTGCTCAGCACCCCTCACTGCTTTCAGGCCAGCCTGCCTACATCTTGGAGAGTTAGAAAGAAGGGGGAGAGATGATGATCTGCTAGTTACTGAAAGGAGGTGTTTATCCATTTAAGTTAGGGTTCTTTTGTAGGGTGGCAAAAGGATAGGGAGTTTACTGTAGTTTCCACTTCGCCACCATTGGGGTTCCCAGTATAATGGGGAGACAGAAAGGAAAAGGGAGTGGAAGGCAGTTTAGAAGACATAGTGACCTTGGGCACTTTTTTTCCTGTTTCTTATCTCTACCACACACATATTCCCCAGACCCTTCCCCTGCAGGGGAAGAAAGTAGGTGTCCTTGAAAATAAAATATATGAAGTACACTTTAAAATACATGAAGGGAAAATCAGGTGACTTCCAAAATCCCTTTCAGGCCAGAGATTCTAAAGTGATTCCTAGAATCTCCTTTCCATTTAGGCTTTGATGTAGAACAATAACAATGGAAAAAATTATTTTGAGAATACATTTAAAAATTATTTTCTTCTAAAACATGCAGGTAAAATGGATAGGAATGACAGAATTTTGAAAGTAATAGAAGTCACATGTTATAGCATATATATATGCTATAGGAACATTTTGTTTTAATTTTGACATCATCTGATTTCTTTGTAGTCAGCAGCTTTTTCTCTTTTACATGGAATTTCAATGACGCACAGATAGGAGAAGGTTAAGGTACAGAAATCACTCAAACATAATTGTATTATTCAGTAACAAAGGGGAGGAAGTCACAAAAGAATTGAAAGGGAAAAGATATTTTGGTTACAAGTATATGTATGTAATTAATGCCTTTCAAGTTTTTTTCATAGGGAGAAAAACAGCTGAGTGGCTTTTTGCATAAGATTTCAAACAACAGAAATTAGCCTAAAAACCATTATAAGCAATATTTATTTATCTCACTTTTACCATGGCTAACATATATTTCCTAAAGCTATTGATTTCAGGGTACATCTTTAAAAATCCATGAGCTTTATTTAATTCTCTGTGCCTTGTTTCAAGAAAAAGATAGTCTCCCTAGGATGAAATTAACATTTGCTGAACACCTAGAAAGAAGGTGATGTCATGCTATAAGCAATACCAGGAAAGGAGCAATTAGGTTTTCCCCACTACCCCAAAGTAGAATATTCTTATTTGGTATGACTTGGCAGGTAGGTTATTTTGGGGGATCTGGGAACACTATTACAATTAATTTGTATGGAAATTTTTTTTGAGTGTATCCAGACCCCCCAAAAATAGCCTACCAAACCATACCCATTGTTTCACTTTCGGATAGCAGGGGAATCCTATAGTGCGAACTTGCAAGAATTTAAACCTAGTGACCTGGATTCTTCCCTCTGGGTTCTACCCCTCTCATCACATCCTTACTGATCTTACCCAGGAGACAACTACCCTAACCATCAACATGATGATATCTGAATCAGCAATCAGTTTAGTACTGTGATGACCTTTAGATGTGATAGGTGCTTGTTGCCACATCTCTCCATATCTTAAAAACAATGAGCTAAATAATTACCTGGTGAGCATAAATGGTTTAGGTTTGAGGCAGTCTTAGGTATCAGGCGCCAGTTATGTAGATCAGAAGGGGAACCGTTGGGGGATTTTTCTTCTCCTTTTATTTTTGCATTTGCACAATAGAGTATTTGCCAAACTACTACCTTAGTTTTCAAAATTGTAGTGTTCAAATGAAATGCCCTCATTTCAAGTGCATCTCATAAGAATGAAATTGGGGTCTACTGCTTTTAGAGTCTAGGGTGACTGAAAACTTGTCCTAGCCATCTTTCAAGAATTATTAGCTTCATGAAGAACAGACATTTCCTTAGAGAACAGGCAGGAATATTAGGTGATCTGTTTTTTTTTTTTTTAAGATTTATTTATTTATTTATACAAGCACTGGGTACAGTCAGAAGTGCGGGAGGGTGAGAGAATTCACCAGAGCCAGAGGAGAGAGCAGAGCAGGCAGACTGATGAAGTACAATGCTGAGGGGAGCAGCGGGCGGCAGGAGAGGTCTGCACGGCATGTGGGAACCTCGCCCTGGCAGCCAGGGATGGAACCGGCGCTGCAGAGAGGCTGAGGGCAGCTTCGCAACCCAGCACTCAACCGCTGCACCAGGGAGGCCCTGAGGACTCTTTTTTAAAAAATTCTATACACCATGAATTTTGCTAAGAGCATTTTTGAGATCATTTCTTTTTGTGTAAGTGGGGGGTGTTCAAATGTGGGAGGTGCCAATAAGTGGGAAAAGGTTTATAAAAATTAGGAGGCCATTCAGGCTCTACTAAATTAGATGTAAGCAATTGATTGGTGAGATTGCAACTGAAAAATTGCTCAAGAAGAGGGCAAGGTGAGGCCCTCAGAACTGCCACATCTGCGGCACAGAAAGGGTCCCGACCCGGGAGGGGTAAAGAGTGGTAGAATCTCCACCGTCAGCACGTACAGGACAATCCAAGCTGTAATTTAATGTGACAATGGCTGGGGCTGCCATGGGCTATGCTGGCTTATGTGCCATTATAAAATATTTCAATGCTCTGAGGATTAAGACTATCTGATAATGAGCAATGACATGACAGATCACAGCAGTTTCAAGGAAATCCACGGGTCAATGACAGAAGGGGAGAAGAAAATAAAAGGATTATAAATAGGAGACAAGAATGACTGGTCTGAGGCAAAGCTTCTGGAAACAGTTAAGATATCCATCTGCATGTATATATATATATAAAAAACAAAACACCAGTTATGTTTCATTTTGAAATCACACCAACTTAAAAGTATTTTGGCACTGTCATGAAGCATATTGGTCATTTTGAAGACTCTCCAGACAGGGAATACCAGCATCCTCTGTTACCTCACCATTTTCTAATTGGCTGTCACTGGGGTCATTTCCATGTCTCCGGGGACTGAACAGCATATGGGTCCTGGGGTTTTTCTGATTTTTATGTAAATGATCTATTTCATTAGTGGAGGAAGATAATTCATGATACGACTTCAAATAAAATATTTACTGCTAGGAGGCAAAAAACATGGCTGACC